GGAAGAAGTGGGTGAGAAGCAGACATAGGGTTTGGACCACAGCAGCAAACTCAGTAGTTGTACAAGCTGCTAATGCCAAGAGCAAATTCTAAATCATGACTGTCACTCAGATCTGTAATATCTGCTCTTTAACCCCTGCTTTGCAGCAGAAAGGTACCCATCATCTGGAATTACTGCTTAGCACAAGCATGTTGCTGTTTCTGGCTTTGCCAGATAAAACTAGAAACGAGATGTAGATTTTTTTTTTTTTAACAGTATTATTTATGACTTTAAATAGATAAGTAGCATAATTAGGGATTGAAAATGCTTTCAGTTGATCTTTGTAGCCACGGTATTTCTTTACATTATGCCTGTAATGCTATGCTGTCTTTCTATCCCTGTGGTGGATAGCTGCATTCATGATCTGACCATGTTCCAGATTCTAGTAATCAGCTGCTATCTGCAAACAGCTGCAACTTGTTCACCTAAAATTTTCCTGTTTGAAAACTGGTATAACATTAGTGTGTAAGTTTTTGCTTCTGTTGTGCAGTGTAGTTTCAGTCATTAGGTGATCCCTAACTGGAGAATACACCCTTATTATACATGTGACAAACAACTGTTTCAGTAAAAATCCCCCTGAAAAATATGAGAGTTCAAGATAATAGTGCTACAGTTCATCAGTCAATTTTTCAAGTTTTACAAAACTACAGACTAATATTAGAGGGGAAATTATATAGTAAGAACAACCAATGCTTGTTCACATTGTACAACGGTCATGGGAGAGTATGCTTTTTGGGCTCCTCTGTGTTGCTTTTACATTCAAAAATTGGTTCAGTAATGTGGTCTGAACACAAGTGCAGTTCCTGAGCTGTTCCTGTATGCCATGCCTCTGCCTTAAACACCCACACAGGTTCTGCACTGGTTTTGATGCTACTCCATGAATCAGTCATGGACCATTTTCTTCTGTGAATGACCATAGCAGCCCACCAAATACTGGCATGAGCCTGAAGAATATTGATTACATGTTTCCAAGTGTACTTGGTAACACTGACCAACTCAACATTTTTAAAATGCAGTTTAAACAAGTTCCTTGTCCCTCTGTGTCCTGCCTTGAGTTAAAGTAAGAGCTTAGTACAGGCTCTGCTGAAGTGCCTTTTTCATACTTTTATTTTATTTTTTTTTTTATCTGTATAATTCATTGCTGAGGGGATTGAGAAAAGGAGTGTAATGGGGATTGGTATACCTCACTTAAAACATGCTTTGTTATTACCTTTATGACTTTGTCACTCTATGGGGATGAGTTACAGGGTGACGAATACGCCAGACTTCCAAGTGCAGAACAGCAGAGCTACAACCATGACTACTCCAGAACTATGTGGCGGTATCATTGAAAGAAATAGCATGTACTGGAGTCTCACCACTGCTACAAGTCACTATTACAAATCCACATTACATCACTGAAGTGAAGGGCTAACTTTTTTGCACTGCACCAAACTAATGCGTGCAGAGCTAGAACGAGTTCTACGAGGATTTAGATTTGGTCCTGGAAGGGCTGTGGTTTGCTCTTGGTAACTGCTCATTTAAATGATTCATGTATCAGGAAACAACAGTTACATGGTAATACACTTTCCTTAGCCCACAAAAGATTCTTGATTTCTTTTGCCCCATGACTGTCATGCTTACAGGGCCTGCTATCTGTGACAAAATATTGCAGTAAATGTGGATATTGACCAGACTACTTCACAGCTCTGATCTGCGTTGTTTGTACTGAACAGACAGCATAATGCAACACTGGCATGAAGACTTGTCATGGAATACGTTCAGACAGCCACTAATTTTTATTCATTCAAGTATGTGTTTGGGAAAAATCACTCTGGAGTCATACATATTATATGAACCACTCTTGATAATGAAACTACACTGAGGTGTTAACTTATTTTAAACTTCAGTACTATTGACATGTGGCATCCCTCTTTGTAGTACATTTGTATTTCAGTAAGGTGGTGTTGTATTTCCCCCGTGGTTAAACAACCACTTTTGTGCTTATCTTTCCCTCCTGAATTATAGTTGGTCCTTCGTTCCAAGCACTTTATGCTATCTGTAATGGGATCTATTTTTGCACTGGAATATCTGTTAACTTTGCAAAAATCTAGAGAGATTTCACAACTGAAATTTCTAAGTTAAATCCTTAAATGGACATTTTCATTAAAAGCAAAAAAAAAAAAGTATATATATTTGTATTTGCTAATATCTGTTATGTGAAGTATTAAAAGGCACTCTAATTGCCTTGTATTAAGTAAAAAAATAAAGCTGTTATAGCACCACTGGTCTTCACAAGTGTAATTTTTGCATTTTTTATTTCAAGGAGCACTGCTAGAAGCTTCTGTTTTGCTTGGTTTTATTTTGTTGTGAACTTTGATTCATGAGATTTCAGTAGCTCTAAAAACTAGTATGGAGTAGATACACTATTTTCAGGTAAATGAGGACATGCAAGATATAAAGGTAAGTGCTACATTGAACTTCTAAAGTTATTAAATAAAAAGGTCTCTAGCAAGTGATTGGTTAACTGTCAAATCCAACTGCAAAGCATAACAAACTTCTCTGGATGTTTAAATCCCAACTCAAGTACCTGCCTCTGAATTTTTATTACAGAGCTGTGAGCTGCTGATTGCTCCTCCTTGCTAAAAACACCCTACACAGTTGATTTTGAACAGCAGTTTACAAATGAAAGCAGAATAACAGTGTGATTGCTCAAGGATAAACTGATACTAAAATCTTATCTACTACTGCCTGTAGTATCACCATCAACCAAGTTCCAATATCTAACCAATTCCTGAAGTTGCACTCATCAGGAAAATTCTGCCTGAGTTAAGAAGCCAATTAAAATTTCACAGAGTCACAGAACATGCTGAGTTGGAAGGGACCATAAAGGATCATCAGGTCCCATTCCTGGCCCTGCACAACATCATCCTCAAGAGTCACACCATGTGCCTGAGAGCATTGTCCAAACACTTCTTGAACTCTGTCAGGTTTGGTGCTGTGATCACAGATCCCTGGGGAGCCTGTTCCAGTGCCCAACCACCCTCTGGGTGAAGAAGCTTTTCCTAATACACAGCCTAAACCTCCTGTGACACAACTTCAGGCCATTCTCTAAGGTCCTGTCACTCACTGGGTGCCAGAGAGGCAAGATCAGTGTCTGCCTCTTCTCTTCCCCTGAGGAGGAAGCTGTAACTGCAATGAGGTCTCCTCTTACTCTCCTCTAGGCTGAACAAACCAAGGGACCTCAGATGCTCCTCATTTTGCTTCCCCTCAGGGTTCTGCACCATTTTGTTGACCCTTTCTAATGGCTTAGTATCTTTCTTATATTGTAATGATACATTAGGATTTTAACTTTTATATTTTTCATATATTTGTAATCCTGAAATTCTTTAGTGCCTAACTCTAAACTCCATACAGATTGTTAGCTACTGTTTTCCCATTTTGGTCAGGCAAAACAATTCCTCTCCAGGCCTGGGAATAACAGACATCTGTTCAAGCCCCAAAAAATGTAAACAAAAGTGAGTTGGGGGGGAGCAAACATAGGGTAAATGACTTCATTAGCTGAAACTGTAATTAGAAGATTAACCCCCAGTCTGCAAATGGACCAAATACAAGTATGAAAGCCTGTGACCTGTCATCTATTTTTAGGTGTAGCCCCTGGGTGGAGGCTCCAACTGTCTGAAATGTACCTGAAGGCACTTCAATAAATATAACTGCTTTTTATTCCCCTTAACTTTGGCCTCTGTTTTTAGGTGCCAAAAGGCATCAGTGGCACCCCAAACTGTCCCAAGCACTCGAGGTGAGGCTGCCCCAAAGCAGAGCAGGACAATCCCCTCCCTTGTCCAGCTGTGATGCTGTGCCTGATGGACCCCAGGACAGGACTGGCCCTCCTGGCTGCCGGGGCACTGCTGGCTCATGGTCAACTTGACATTGGCCAGGACACCCCAGGGCCCAGTCCTGCTGCTTTCCAGCATCTTGTCCCCCACTTGTCTGTACACCCAGGGTTTTCCTTGCCCAGGCACAGTATCCAGCACTTTCCCTTGTTGAACTTCATGTGGCTGATGATTGCCCAGCCCTCTTAATTTCCTGGGTTTTCTGTTTTGATCTCATGTCCAGCTGCCACCTCAGGATAAAGTACACCTCTAACATCCTGAATGTTCCTTATTCTCAATGCTGATGTTAAGGAATAGTTTTTAATTAAAAAACAGAAGAACAACCAACCAACCAACCAAAAAACCTCAGTGAGACTTGAATTCTTGCCTGCAAATGAAAAAAAAAAAAAAAAAAAGTCTTTAACTCTTCCCATTTTTCAGCTCATGCTTTTGTTAGTAAAAAAAAAAAATCTTCCTTTGAAAGAACAGTTGTAAGGCCATATTCTAAACAATATACTGGCTCATCAGGTCTTTGTACCTTAAAAAGTTGATCTATAAAATGTAAGACAGAAGTCTCTGAAGTTGTGTTTGTTCCACCCTGAGAATGCTAAACATAGCCTAGTGGGAGACAGCACTGTATGAAGACAGGGATATAGCAGCTGAGACCCGTTACACTCCCTTAACTACAGCAGCCACATCCCATGCATCCACCTTGGGCACAAACATAATTTAGTGCTTTCTGTGAGATCTTAAGGCCCTATAAGAGGCAGTAATCATTATGCAAACTGCACAAAGATACTTCAGTACTCAATTGCTCATTGCAGATCCATGATAAACATGTAGAGAAGCGTCCCAAGTGCTCTGCACTTCTAGTCAATACCTATAAATTGCAGAAGAGGGTGCTCTGTACTACTGTACACAAAACAGAAGCTTGACTTCTCAGCCCACGACCCCTCTGTCCTACTGCTATTCACTCCAGCTTACTGGTTCTAAAGCAATTTGTTGTTGACCAAAAGACAAAACCTGCAAAATGAATATTGTACTTGGAAAATGGGATTTATCATCTCACAGCTTAAAAAGAGTAGGAGCTTGAGCCATAAACACTAAAAATTAATGCTTTCTGCTCATTTATTTAGTGTTTAATAGTTCTGACGAAAAGTATTTCAAAGAATGTCGGAACATGTAAATCAGATGAACAATTGAACAAGAAGGACTAATCAGCTTCAGCACCCTAAGCAAGTTTTAAAATACCTGAGGCAAAGCTTGTGTGGATAACTCACAGTTTTGAGGCAGTGTTTAATGAACAATAAAGGAAAAGGCTGAAATGAGCCATGACACATTATTAAGTAAAAAGGATTTTTCATCAAAGTATATTACAAAAATTATACCATCCCTGTCTGGAATGCTGGACAAGAGCACTTAACTTACTCATTTGGTAAGGGACCTAGCTATGCAAAAAATTATGAAGAACTTGGGAATTAAAACAGATGATTGGTGAAGCATGGTTTGTGTCATGATATGGCTTGAGTTCTTTGTCCTGGAGACATAGGAACATCACCATAAACTTCTGTTTAATAATTGGTATCAATTGTGCTGATTTACATTGCTAGGATCAGTATTTTGCATCCATTTTTTGTCAGCTGAAGAACAGTTCAGCTCATGAGGGTATGGGGATCCATGTCACTTGCTGACAGCACTTCCATCTTGTCTCTCCTGCCATCAGTTATGTCCTTTAGAAGAAGGTTACTTCAGCGGTGAGCATTCCAGGGGAATCAGAAGCACATTTTGCTGGGACTCCAAGAATCTGACACTGTCGCGCACTAAAATTAAATGCACGTTTAATTAAGATAGTATTCCAATGAAAAGTAATACTTTTCTCAGCATGCATGCAGACAACACAAGTGAGTTCTCTTGAGTCATCATGTCTTACCAGCTGCTACAACTCTGGCATCTTCATGGGCACGGTGTCTTCCTGCTGCCCGGTGATCTGGGCTCTCATTCCACCATAACACGTGAACTGAGAAAGTACAAATAAAGTCAGCTGAGCACTATTATGCTGCAATACAACACACACTCTAAGTCCTAGCCATGTGCCCTCATCTGTTACAGATGCAGTTATCAAAAGCAATTCTCCAGGCATCCCACCCAGTAGTGGGATGATCTTTTACTGAGCCATTGCATGGTTTGACTTTAGCATCAGATCTGAAAGTCTTTTAAGATGGTGGCAACTGGCTTACATCTATAATCCAATACACAAAGTCGAGTTCAAGGACTCTTTACAGGACTTTGGTGATCCACACCAACATTTTCAGCTAGCTGGCCAATCCTGATCCAGGACGAGGGCTTGCCCCTCTGCCTCTGCCCTTTCCCATGCCAAAGTGTGTATCAGAAGCTTATGAGTACCTGTGTTAAGTAATCCATATTCTGTGTGGAAAACACCTATCAGGCTGGTATATCCTGTGTTGATGTGAGCATTGACTGCAGCTCGAAATGCTTCACCCCACAATGCTGGCCCACCAGGCTTCATCTGGAAAGTAACCCATTCATATACACCTAGAAGAAAAGGCAAACACTACCACAAGGAAGGAAATACAAATTAATACAGCAGATCTTGAACTGTGTCTCATGGCCACAGCATACTTGCTGTGAGACTAGTATGACGTTTCCGTGTCATTTGGGGACAGCAGGAAACTGCCCCTTACTCCCAGCACACACAAGAACTCACAGCTTCCAGAGCACAGGCTCACTAACTGTAGTTAGTTCAAGTGTAAAGCTAAGTATGAGGGCCCTGAAGAAGAGAAAGCTTCACACAAAGCCAAACTTTACAATTTTCAATGTTGCATGGAAATATGAAGACATTCAGCCTACTTTGCAGATACCACAAGTGCTCATACTTGTTTGAGGGATTTTGTAGCTGCTTGAACAATGCTGGGTGTCTTTTCTAAGACTGGTGATGTTTTCTGGCATTGTGGAGGTTTATGAGATTACAAACCCCTTTGACTCCTGGCAGTTGGTCACAGTAAGATCTGACAGCATAGCCAACACAGCAGGACTAGTTTAGCACCTCTGCTGTGCCAAGCGATCTCCCTTATTTGTAGCGAAATGGCATAATTTGCAAAAAAAACTCCAGTCCTTCTAAAAGTTACTTGTCTTCTTTCTGTTCAGGTAGTTACTTCGTATCATTGTCGTTGGCACAGAAACAGAAAGCCAGACGCTACTTGGCAGTGTCTGGTGTCACTCTCCAACAACTGGCTGGAGATAAACTACAACAGTGTTTGAAATCGTCTCTCCAGATTTTAGAGAAAACAGGACTGCTTTCAAATTCAACAGTAGCAGCATAAAATTCAGAATCCTGGGGAAATAAAGAACAAAGATTACTGTATCTGGATATGTGCTGAGGGCTGAAGCAAGGTCTGTTCCCTGTCACTTCATGCAAGAAAGCCTGCCAATGTTCATATACTCAATATTATTAATATCAACTTTGCTACAGAGAGAATTAAAATACATAGGGACATGACTTCTACACTTAACCTATGATTGTTACAAAAAATTGTTCCAAAAAGGGAAGAACTGCAGAACTACAGTTTGGTTACTCTCATCTCTGTGCCTGGCAAGATCAAGGAGAGATCCTCATGTTTGACTTTCACGTATCTTTAAAAAAGTAGGAAATCTTTTAAACTTTTTGTGAAAGAAGCAGTAACATCAAAGCACATTGGTAAGAGGAAAATCTCTGTGAAAGAGAATGATTATCCAGGAAATGCCCTCTCACTGATGGACAGACAAAGGAAATCTGAGATGACTGCTCTGATCACTACTATGGCATTGCCATTTTGCATGTTCATTTAGCAAGTCACAATCCTGATCATTAACAACCTTAATGATCAGCACTCAGTCAGTTATTGATGCACCTTAGTGAAAAATCCTTCTGAAAATCTCTGTCCCTCATCTGTGTTATGTCACCTTTTCCACATGGATGCATGTACATGCATTTGTTACATAAAGGGAGACAAAACTATGCAATACCTGGTTTGAACTTTAAGCCATTTTTTGTTAGTGCCGGTTACTTGAATCAGCAAAAGAAAAGATAAGCTCACCTCCTTCCTTTGGAGGCTTCCCAAGTTGACACCAAGGCACCAGATAAGCAACCTCATTGTGCTGCTTCTCTATCAAGGGGAGAGCTGCAGAGATGAATTTTCCCTGCCAGTCTTTGTCATTTGCTAGTGCATGCCGGACTGCTGTTCTGTGGGCAAAATTATCTGTAAGAAAGGAAAAAATGCATGAAAAAATGCATATAATGTCACGTCAGACTTAATCAAAATGTGTAATTACAAGAAGGCAAACGACATCTAGTTTTGAAACTGGTAATTTTAAGACATCATATTAGCTCAAAGCGGATGTGGTAAGTTTCCTTTAAATTCTGCAAAACTTCCTTTAAAATCTGTGTTAGCTCTCACATTAAAATGGATTCAAGCAAAATGAAAATTTCCAAGAAAGTTTACAAAGGAGTTAAAATAAGTTAAGCAATTTTACTGTTAAAATAGATTTGAACATGGCAATTGCAGGGTCTACTGGATGTGGCAACAGTTACCAAGGATAAGATTTGGAGAAAGCACAGTGGATATGGAAATGAAGTGGAAAAAAGTAAAAATCAGGAGAAGTAATAGCCTATCAAGAAAAAAAATAATAAATGTGGCTTGGCTTATATAAAGTGACATTAAAACTGTAGAATTAATGTTTGTGTGTCCTGTTACATAAAAAGATGTTAAATGCCCAAAAGCTAAACTTTTTCTTCTTTTTTTTTTCTTGGAAAACAAATCCACTTAATTAAGAGCATGAATTTCAACTGCTTAGGCTACAGTGGCATCTTAAGCAATATATTTATGCAGACAGCTCCCAACATTACAAAAGAAAAATCCAGCAACTGAGAATGGGAAGAACCTTGAGAAATATCAGTATCCTGGGAAAAAAGAGGTAAACATAGCAATTATGGAAGCAGGGGTCTGATGAATCAAGGAGGAAGAATGTTGTGAAATTTGTTCATTTCTCAGATAATAGTGTGGTCTCAGGGTGGGGGGAGGAACCATCACAATTAGACATGTAAATTACCGTAAGGCAACAAAAGGTATAGGTTTTGCCCTAACTTTGCATTTTAAAGGTTTCTCATAGATTTTTTTTTTTTTTTATTTAGAGATAGTAACAATAGCCAAGACTAAAATGTTCTGAGAAGCAGGACAATTTTTAAATTCAAGTGAACTCAAAATATTGACAAATGAATGGCCCTCTCTTGAAGGAAAACAAAGACATGGCTGCCCAGGTCATGAAAAATGTTGAGGGACTCAATGTCCTTTTTTGCCTTGGTCTGCACTGGCAAATGCTCCAGCCAGACCATGCAAGTCACAGAAGGCAAAGGCAGGGATTGTGAGAATGAAGAATGACCTGCTGTAGGAAAAATTCTGGTCTGAGACCATCTAAGGGACGTGACGGTGCACAAATCAATGGGACTCAATGAGATACATTCACAGGTCCTGAGGAAACTGTCAGAGAAGGTGGCTAAGCCACAATTTGTTGTATTTGAGAAGTTATGGCAGCCCATTTTTAAAAAGGAACATAAGGAAGAACTGCAGAACTACAGCTTGGTCAGTCTCACCTCTGTGCCTGGCAAGATCAAGGCGTAGATCCTTATGGAAAATATGCCAAGGCTCATAGAAGATCATGAGGTGATTTGTGACAGCCAGCATGGCTTCACTAACAGCAAATAGTGCCTGACTAATTTGGTGGCCTTCTGTGATGGGGTTACAGCTTTGGTGGATGAGAGAAGATTGACTGACATCAGAGGAGGTGACAAAAATAATTCAAGTGCTCAAGCACCTCTCTTGTGAAGACAGGCTGAAAGAGTTTGGGCTATTCAGCCTGAAGAAGAGAGGGCTCCAGGGAGACCTTACAGCAACATTGCAGCACCTAAAGGAAGCCTGTAAGAGAGCTGGAGAGGCACCTTTTTACAAGGGCATGTAGTGATAGGACAAGAGGGAATGGCTTTAAACTGACAGAGGGTAGATTGAGAATCACAGGATGGTTTGGATTGGAAGGGACCTCTGAACATCACCTAATTTCAACTCCCTGGCCATATGCAGGGACACCTGCCCCTGGACCAGGTTGCTCAGAGCTCCATCCAGCTTGGCCTTAAATACCTTCTGGGATGAAGCAAGATTTAGATTAGATATAATGAAGAAATCCTTCACTGTGAGAATGTGAGGCACTGCAGCAGATTGCTCAGAGAAGGCTGTGGATGCCCAGTCCCTGGAAGAGTTAGAGGCCAGGCTGGATGAGGCACATAGCAGTATAGTTGAGAGGAACCAAACAATTCTCTAAGTCTATGCTTCCACAATTCATCCCTCCAAAACAAAAGGGATTTCCCTTAATTGAAACAGGTGTTGTGATGGAGCTGGACTTCAATGAGTGCAGTGTGTCAACATGCAGCTGGACTGTAGAAGGTGTTCAAGGGGAATTATACCGGTGTGCCTTCCCACCCCTCTATAACCCAAGTATCACTTCCCTTGGGTTCCACAAAAAGCACAGCCAGCACACCTAGCTTTTAGCATAATAGTAGCTTTTTCTGGCTCACCTAAACCTTCCATGTCAAAACTAACTCCAACAACCTAAAAAGGTGATCATACTGCAAAAATCATATTGATAGCAAGGTTAAAGCTGCAACAAAAACACTTTGCACGCTTGAGAAGTCAGATCTGGTGGAGCGGCTTCCAACCTCAGTACAGGCCCACTGCAGAAGGAGTTTAAGCATGCAAACAGCATATTCATTTTTTTATGTGAGTGACTGGTAGTCTGAGCTAAAATACAGTAAAATTATACATGCATATAAACACACACAGACCGCATATGCGTGCATATTTCCTTTTTTCTACTGATTTTGAAAGTTTCAAGATGTTTGTGGAAATGGCCCTAAGTTAAAAATATTTACCATGAATGAAACACTCAGCCACAGTTCCTCTGTTATACCTGTTTTGAACAGAGACTGCTGTTCAAGAACATTTGTAACTTTCTCATCCCAACACGTTAAAGTTGTTCTGACAAGGTCTGAAGTGTTGTTGTCACTAAACCAGTACAGGAGCAATGTTATGGGGGCACCTCCTTACAGTAAGAACAACAAATAAAAGCTAGGAAAGCATTCCCCTCACCTTCTTGCCCGGGAAACAGGGGACACAGAGAGAGCAGAACAGCGCAAAGGGATGCTGACCGTACCATACTTCCAAATGTGGAGCACCCTGTTCATCGCTCCCAGCTCCGAGTACCAGAATCCCACCAGCTCTGAGTGAGCTGTGCGAAAGTGAAAGTACTTCTTGACCATTTCCAAAAACTCCTTCATCTTTGCTGGCTTAATATCATATGTGCGAATTTCGTAGAAAATGCCGTTATTTTGTCTGGGCCCTGTAGCAAGGCGTACCTGAAAGAAAATAGTAAGAAAAAATAGTAAAAGTAATTCTCAAGGCAGAAAGTTGTTTTCTGCCTAGTATTTTTTAATTAATGCAGAACTACAGAAGGATCTTTTATGGCAGGTTGGGAGAGGAGTACTTACTTCCTGACGTCCACTACAAAAAAAAATACCTTTTGACACTTTTCTTTGTAAGTAGTAACGATGTCCATTATCTGCCACTCCTTTTGGCAATGCAACAGACTGTGAGGTGTCATTTATTTGATGCACTCAACTGTTTAATTATTAGCTCATAACAAAGCAGGATTTTCCTTTTCCTCTTCCTCAGGAAGTCAGCAGCAATATGCATTTAGCTAAACACATTATTCAAAAGCAAGGCTGCTGAGATGCCACCAAAGAGGAAGCAACACCAACATCTGCCTGTGCTGTGCTTACCCAACCAACTCACGTTACTGCATTGTGTTTTCTACTTACAATCTTATGCCAGGATTAGCAAATTACATATTATTGGCAAATGAAGGAAAAAGATACCAACACTTGGGAAAGAGTGATTCATTCTAACACACGATCGCTTAAGTCCACATCCTAGTTCTTTACTGGCTGCTTCCCAAGGGCTGATCAAGAACAGTTTTTCTGCTCATACTAGGTAAAACCCTCTGGGAGTCCCAGACTAAGTGTACTTTTGCAACTGCCTCCATAACCTGGAACATGCTACTCACCTCTCAAATAAAACATGAAAAATTAATGCCAAAACACAGCTTTGGCCATAGCCCATGTTTGCACAGAGGCAGCTACAGTATGGATTTTGGACATGTCCTATTTCACAAGAATTTGCAGGCATGAGCACCATTAATAACCAGAACAGAATTGTTTATGTTTAGAATTTACTTTATCATCCTATCCACTGTGAATCTAGATGTTCCATGTCCACCACTAAACCATATTCTCAAGTGACATATCTACCTGTGTCTCGAATACTTCCAGGGATGGTGACTCCACCACTCCCCTGGGCAACCTGTTTCAGTGCTTTACAACCCTTTCAGTGAAAAAAAATTTTCTAATATCCACTCTAAACCTCTCCTGGTTTAGAGAACTTGAGGCCACTTCCTCTAATTCTATCACTTGTTGCATGGAAGGAGAGCCTGACCCCAGGCTGGCTGCAGTTACAGGTCGTTGGATACGGAAGGTGCAAACCAAAGGCTTTGTTCCTCGGTGGCCCTTGCAGCATGACACATCTAGTGCTGGCTGCCATGAATCACCGCTCCTTGGGGCTGTTACAAATCCCTGCAGGATCCTGACACAGTGGGAAGCCTGCATGCAGTACCGACCCATTCCATATTGCATTTCTGTGGGAAATGAGAGGCCCTGAAGCTTTCTGCTTAGGCAGACACTGGGACACTGCAGGACTGCTTCTGTTCCAGACAAGGGCAACGGAGCTGGTGAAGGGTCTGGTTATGAGGAGGAGCTGAGGGAATTGGGGCTGTTTAGCCTGGAGAAGAAGAGGCTCAGGGGCTGACCCTATCCCTCTCTACAGCTGCCTGAAAGCAGGGTATAGCCAGGTGGGGGTCGGACACTTCTCGCAGGCCGAGGACAGCGACAGGATAAGAGGTCATAGTCTCAAGCTGCAGCAGGAAAGGTTCCGACTGGACATCAGAAAGAATTATAAACAGAAGCAGAGATGGGACATTGGAATGGGCTGCTCGGGGACGTGGTGGAGTCGCCGTCCCTTGAGGCGTTTAAGGAAAGGCTGGACGCGACACTTGGTGCCACGGTCTGGTTCCCAGGGTGGTGGTGTTCGAGCACGGGCTGGACTCGCTGATCTCGGCAGTCTTTTCCAACCGGATCGATCCCGTGACCCGGGGATGGATCCCAAAGGGCCCCACACGGCTCTGGGCAGGGACCGGCGCCAGCCTCGTGAGAGACGGTGTCGCGACAGCGCCAGGCCCCGCGCGGAGGGAACGGCCCCCGCCCGCCCCGCGTCCCCGCCGCTACCTGCGGGCCCGAGCGCGGCAGGGCCAGGCGGGCGGCGGCGGCGAGCGGGCGGCGGAGCAGCGCCGGCGGCAGCATGGCGGGCACGGCCTGGCCACAGACAGCGCCCGGCCACAGACACCGCCCAGCGCCATGGGGGCGGTGCGGGGACCGGCGGGCCCTCCCTGCTGCGGGCGGGCCGCCGCTGGGACCGCCTCTGCAGCCCGCCCCGCCGCCTGCGCACAGAGCCGCCGGTGGACGCACTGGGGGCGGGCGGAGCAGGAGGAGGGAGGCGTAGCTGTTGTGGTTTTCAGCTCCAATAGAGATGAAGCAGACCGCGGCTTTCCCCGCCTCTCCCTTTCTTATCCCCTCACATCGGTGGAATGCGGAGGAGAATCGAATTAAAACTTGTATGCTGACATGAGAACTTAATAATTGAAACAACAACAGCCGCAACAATGTCGTTGCTCACCACCCACTGTCTGAGCCAGGCCTTCCCTTCCTGAAACCAGACCATCCGCCCTTCCAGGTAACTCCCCCCTTTTCATAGAGTGAGCATGACGTTTTGTGGTGCGGAGCATCCCTTTGGTCAGTTCGGTCACCTGTCCCGGCCATGCTCCCTCCCACTTTCATCTGCGTACTGCCTCCTGGCAGAACATGAG